CTGGGAGACCCAGCAGCTGCCCCCGCCCCGCCCCGCCCCGCCCGGCTTTTGCACACGACCACAGGGCTCCCAGCACCAATAGCAGCCTGCCTCCCAATCGCTCCCCTGCCCCTGCCAGGCTTCCGACTGGCGCCCAGCTGGAAATTCAGAAAATATCGGACATTGCACATGTCCGGTATTTTCTGAATTTTTCTACTGGACAGAGGGCACACATACTGGACTGTCCAGTAGAAAACCGGACACCTAGCAACCCTACACACATCATACCCAGCATCCCTATGCAGAGTCACCCCCTGCCAGTCCTCTGTCCTGCATGGCACGGACCCGCCCTGACCAACACTGCCTCATTGGGAACTGCTCCCCTAGCATGCCCGGGGCCAGCCCTGCCTGCCAGGGGAGAGTGCCCCCTACTGTCCACTCTAATGTCCTTTCTCTCCCTGCAGCCACCTCAGATGGTACCAAGGAGGGGCTGGAGAACCTGAAAGGTGGCGCCTGCCTGTCTAAGGGAATGAAAGTCATCTTGAAAGTCGGACAACGTAAGTCATGGAATAGGCATGAAGGGGGGCTCAGCTGGGGTGCTCTCCCCTGGCAGGCTGGGCTGGAGCAGGGTGGCCCTAGGGGGCGCTGTGGGGCAGGGAGTGAGGCAAGGGCTCAGCAGGGGGTGCTCTCCTCTGGTAGTCCCTGGCTTTCTCCCAGCTGGATTGATTTGGCTGATTCCCGCTGAGCCCCTCCAGCGAGCTAATTAGCGCTGCATGATTGGAGCAGGGAGGGAGGGTGGTGAGAATGCAGGAAGGGAAAAATAGCAAATGGGGGAGGGGAAAGTGGGAGGAGCTGGCTCTGTGATTGGCAGCTGCCAAAACCCCCTCCAGCAATTCTAGGCTCCTTTCCCATGGGTCCAAAATTACAGAGAATGACCTACAGCCTCTGGGGCAGCTTCTGTGCAACCATCCCTTTCCCCTCCCCCATAGAGCTGGAGGGGCAGGGCTGGGTTAACAGGGGCTGTCAGCTGGGTTGGAGCCCAGGGTTGGGTTAGCTGGGGCTGTGGGTTCTGAAGTGAATGGGGGAGGGGTGGTCCTGAGTACCATAGATTCCAATTGTGTGTGGAGCCCCCTCCTGGCTGGGTGTGGTACTGCAGCACAGTGGGTGCAGTCCCAGGGGGTGAGGTGGGATAAATAGGGAGATTGTGGGGATACAGAGGGTTCCACAGTCAGCAATGGGGAAGGGTCTGTTTGGGTCCCCTGCTCTGTGTGCTCCATCCCTTCCAGACATCCCTCATCACCCATGCATCTCTCCTTGCCCCCTCAGATCCTGGTACAGGTTCCAAGTCCCAGAAATCGGTACCAGAAATGCCGCCTGAGCAGGCGCGTGGGACCCTGGGAGGAGCAGACCCCAGCAAGGAGAGTGGTACAGGTACAGAGCTGCCCCCCATCCTCCATCAAGTATTGTGGGTGCTGCCCTCCAGCCCCCAGTGCTCTCTGTCCCTGTGCTCACATCGCTCCCCGACCACATGCATTCTCAGAAGGAAACTGAATAAAGTCACGTCAGTGGTAGAGTTGTGGAGAGAATCCAGGACTCCTGGATCCCAGGACCCCCACTCCCTCAGGAGCCCACGGCTGGGGGTCAGGGGAAAGCGGCACCTACAAAGTGGGAGAGGCAGGAGGCTGGGCTAGTAGGGGCTGCAGTTTGGGATGAGAATGTTATGGGGAGGAAATGGGGAAACCCCCTTGCACTAAGTGGAGTTGTTGCCATTTAAATGCAGCCCCTCGTCAGCTCTAGGAAGGGACTGGCTGGTTCAGGGGGACTGGGAAAGAGCCCCTAGGGATGTATGGCTAGTTGTGGGGCTGGAGGTGGAACTCAGCCTGCTCCTCCTGCCCCCAGCTCGGCATGAAGAGGTTAATGGCCACTGTGGTTCCCTGTCCTGGAGGGAGAGGCCAGGGTTGAGTCTGATGGATGCTGATGGCTGTAAAGGACCCAGGTGTCCAGGGCTAGGGAGGCATCAGAGAGACAATTAGTTTTGTTAACTGGCTTTGACAGACAGGAAGGGCTCAGAACCTCCCCGCCCGCCATCCCTCACACAGCCAGTCAGCCAGCTGCCACTGTGAATGGGGAAGGGGATGCCAGGACTCCTGGGTTCTTGCCCTGGCTCTGTGAGGGGAGTGGGAACTGGTGGTTAGAGCTGGGGGGCTGGGAGCCAGGACTCCTGGGTTCTTTCCCCAGCTCTGTGAGGGGAGTTGGGGCTGGTGGGTAGAGTGTGTGTGTGGGGTGGTGGAATGGAAGCCGGGACTCCTTGGTTTTCTGCTCTTAGCCCTCTCTCTCTCTCCCCCCCCCCCCTTCCCCAGGTGCTGGGAACTCAACAAGCCAGGCTGGGGGTGAAAATGGGCCCCTGCCCCAGTCCAACGTGCCAGTGGTGGCTGGGGCGGCGGGAGGTGCCACCTTTGTGGCACTAGCAGCAGCAGGTGTGGCAGGGGCTGTGTGCTGGCGCCGCCGGCGGGCCAAACAGAGTGACACTCACCACCCGTCCCTCTCGTTGAGTGGCTTGAGCAGCCCGAAGCGGGGGGCTGGCAGCGGGGGTGGGAACAACAATGGCTCAGAGCCCAGTGACATCATCATCCCACTACGGACTGCGGACGGTGCCTTCTGCCCCCACTACGAGAAGGTGAGCGGAGACTATGGCCACCCCGTCTATATCGTCCAGGAGATGCCCCCCCAGAGTCCTGCCAATATCTACTACAAAGTATGAGGGGGGGCCTGGGCCCTCCTGGCCCTGGTGATGGACATACGCCTCCCCCAAGGTGGACCAGCTGCTCCCTAATGCTGGTGGGGTTAACCCACAGCAAAGGTGGCTCCCCCTCCTGCACTGGATGGAGACAACACCCCCTGCCCCCCACATGGACAGCTCCTGGCACAGATGGAGTTAACAGACTGCGAAGATGGACTTCCTTGTACTGAGCGCCCGGGCACCAACAGGGTTAATGGGGATTGGGGTTCCCCACATCTCCCATTCTTCTTTCTGGGGGTGGCTCAGAGGGGGCCCCTTCCCTAGTCACTCCAGCTCAGCTTCCCCATCCCTACAATCCCTTGCACCCAGGGCCCTGCTGCATCGGGGATGGGGAGCTGCCTCCCCACCCCTGCTGCATCGGGGATGGGGAGCTGTGGGGGAAGGGCAGGAGTGGCTATTTCATGTCACAGGGTAGGGTAGGAGGGAGATCAGCCCTTTTCAGGAGATTCCTCCCCGGGGGGTCAGTTTCATTCCTCCCCTCTTTCTGCCCAATCCCTCTTCATGTGGAAAAGTGGAGGGAGGGAAAAGTTTGATTATTTTGATCCTTCAAGGCTCCACTGGGGCCTTTTCTATGCCACTGTTTGAAAATGTGATTCAGTAAAATGGCTGCAGGTCGCACACCCCACCCTTTTGATCAGAGAGACATTTTTACCTGAGGGGGCCAGGCATGGAGGTACAAGGGTGGACTCGTCTTTTTCACACACCTGCATTCTGCAAGAAGCGAACCTTAATCCACAGGAATTGAATCACAGAATCCCAGGGCTGGAAGAGACCTCAGGAGGACATTGACTCCAACCCCTGCCCAAAGCAGGACCAACCTCAACTAAAAGTGACATATTGCCTGACAGGAAATGAGGCACACAAAGCTTCTGGCTAAGGAGAGACTTGCTGTTTTTGGATGTGACTTCCTGTATTGTGTGGGACTGACTGTTTCTGGCTGGAAATGGCTCCAAGGCAAAAGAAATGGGGGAGGTGGAATCTTTGAGGGCTTTAACCAAGTTTTTTGACCTGGGAATTTCTTAGCTTTGTTGGTGGAATTTACTGTTCAATCACGTGCATTATAGAAGTTCTTGTGCATCTGTCTGGACACTTTTGATTATTTCAGACCCGTCTGTCCCCGTGTTTTTCCCCATGAGTCCACAAAGAGCGATTTTCACGCCTCTGGGATATGGTACATGAGAGAGGGAGAGGAGATATTTAATCTGAGGCCTTGTCTCATGAGGAAGCATTTTCTTCTAGGACATGTTTTCCCACTGTAAATAATGGGGAAAACAAAGCTGATAAAAGCCATCTACATGCATTTAGATCAGTTTAAGCCACTTAACTATAAACAGGCATCTGGCATAGAAGTAAAGAGGTGATTTAGAGGGGCCCTTCTTCAAACACAGCTGTGCCCCTGGGTCTGGTTTTGATGATACTTTTTGATCAAGGAAGACTATTCCAGACTGGAAGGTCACAGGGGGACCTGGCTGGCCTCAAAATGTGCAGATCTCTCTTTTTAAAAAAATGTAAACAGCCACATGCAGTGTTCCCTCTAAACTGCACCACAGCCCAGCTTCACAAGTGAATCAGTCCAGCCCAGTCAGAGGTTCAAGGTTCCATGCAGGGAGCTGACTGACTGGGTGGGGCTGATTAATCACCTGTGAAGCTGTGGTGCTGCTGTGCAGTTTGGATGGAACACTAGCCACAAGGTGTTCTGGGTCAATCCCTCTACCTCTGGGGGCCTCCCTGCCTGTTGTGCGAAATTTCTACTGGTGAGCCTTTGGGCTACGTCTAGACTGCAGGCTTCTTTTGGAAGAAGCTTTCCCGGAAGAGATCATCTGAAAAAACTTCTTCCGAAAGAGAGCATCCACACTGCCAAAGCCCATCGAAAAAGTGATCTGCTTTTTCGAAAGATAACGTCCACACTGAATGGACGCTATTTCACATGTAAGCTGTGATTACTATGCCCGGAGTGGACACCAGGGCACCTGTGCTTTTTCCTCTTTCCTCTTCTTTCAAAAGAACTCCCTCTTCCCCGTCCACACACGCCTTTTTCCGAAAGAGTTCTTTTGGAAAAAGGCTTCTTCCTTATAGAAAGAGGTTTACCAATGTTGGAAAAACTCCTCTGTTCTTTCGATTTTTTTTTTCAAAAGAATGCAATTGCAGTGTGAAGGTAAGTGAAGTTTTTTCAGAAAAATGGCTGTTTTAATGAAAAAACTGTAGTATAGACATAGTCTCAGGTTTGTTCAAGGCAAAGCCACTGGGGATCAGGGTGGGTGGGCAGACAAAAGCTGGATATAGTGTGTCTGAAAGGTGGATGGTACCCTCTGATGCCAATCCCCAGAAAGCCCCATCTGGAGGAGCATTATTTCACTTTCACTGCGGGACATCAGGTTGAAAATGGGGGTGGGCAAAAGTTCTTTGGAAAAGTCATTTCTGTGTCAGCCATGCCTTTGACAGAGTCTGGGTAAATGTGGCTAATCATGGTTGCATGACAGAGTGCTCTGGTTGATCCCAAGCTTTGGGGAAGGCTGAGCACAAGCGAATGGCTGGAAACTGAAGCCAGACTTGTTCACACTGGAAATTAGACCCCAATTATTAACAGCGAAGCCAGGAAACAATCAGTCCCAGGGCAGGGCTGCTCCCAGGGAAGATGAACTGGCTTGTTATCCAAGGAGTTCTTGCACCTTGAATGCCATGACTCTCCTGAGCTGCCTGCAGAGCCCAGCAAAAATCGAGATGGGTGTGCTCCAGAGACCAGCCACCCAGCTGCAACTGATACCTGCATGGGTAATGTTCTTGCAAAACACTACATCAGAGAACAGCTTGGGCAGAAATTTCACTCTCTAGAAAACGTATAAAGATAGGTCCCTCCAGCAAGGTTATTGCTGTGTTGGTCTGTTCATCCATTCTTGTTTGCACACTCTGTCCGTCTATTCCTGTTCACATACTCTTTCCTTCTGTTCCCATCCATACCCTCTGTCTGTCTATTCCCATTCGCATGCTCTGTCCATCTATTCTCATTCGCCCACTCTGTCTGTTGGTCTCTGTCTGGACATTCTATCTATTCTTATTTGTGCCTTCTGTCCATGTGTCCATCCATCTGTTCCTGTCTGCACTCTCTGTCCAGCAGTCTGTCTGCACCTTTGGTCTGTCTGACTCCCTAGCCTCATCCACCCCCTCTTGTACAGCAAGGGGGGAACATTCACTGTGGCTTCACATCCTGAGTTGGGTGGGCACTTGGCATATATAGTCACTACTGATGCCCCCAAGAAAGGACAGACCTGGTGCGCCATTATGTGCCCCTCTGAACCAAGCAGTCACCTCCCTGGAGCTGGATGGGAGCAGGGGGCTTGGGAGCCTAAAGGAGAAAGGCCCCATGTTCCATTCCCTGACTCCCTGAGCCAGACAGTCCCTACCCTGGAGATGGGTGGAAGCTAGTGCCCCCTTGAGGGGAAAGGCTTTGTGCCCCATTCCTTGCTCCCTTGAGTCAACCAGCTCCTACCCTGGGGCTAAATGAGAGACAGTGCCCCCTCTAGGGTGGACAGCCTCCCTGCCCTTTTGCCTGCCGAGTTTTACCTAGTGTCTCTCTCCTTCTCTCATGAAATAACCTCCCAAGTCCTTGTCGCTGCTTCACCCTGACAAGGATCCTAGATGTGACAGGGCTGAGGGTGGGGGTGGGGGACCCTGTCTCTGTTCCTAGCTGATGTAAGCCAGGCCAAAGTAGGGCACTGGAAATCCAGGCCTTACCCCCCCCCCATGGGGGAGGGTGTTGAATCTCCATTAGATCCATGGTGTATGGGACAGACTCAGCCTGGGGAGGGAAGGTGGGAAGCGGAGGGGGGCCATGTCGGCTGCTGTCAGATCCATTCACACAAGGGCCTTGTGCAGCGTGGTTGGAGGCAGAATTTGCTGCAGAAGCAGCAGGGAGGAGAGGGAAACGGAATTGGCAGATAAGGGGATGAGGGGTTCCCCTCTAGGGGGCTCTGGTTAGAATCAGGTCCCATGCAAAGGGGTGCAATGACTCAGAACAGAACCCAGGAGTTCTGGCTCTCACCCCAACCACCGGCCCCCACTATTTTCCCAGAGCTAGGGAGAGAACCTAGGAGTCCTGGCTCCCAGCTCTCATGTTCTGTGACCTACCAGTTCCCACTCCCTCCCCATGAACCCAGGCATTCTGACACTTAGTGCTGCCATTTCTAATTCATACCTTCCCACCCATTGCCATAGGAGCGATGTGGGGGGCACAGAAGGGGGGTAGGTGCAGCTAATGAGAGACCATCCGGGCTATTAGCTCAGCCAGCCACAGATCCCTGCCTCCAGCCAGGGGTCACCTGGGGTCACTCCCCAATTAGGTCACGTTTTTCTCCTGCCCAGGAAACAACGCTGTAGCCTCTAGCCTCCCTGCCCCCAACCCTTGCCTGGAAGCCATCTCTGGGAGCGGAGTGGGGCCTCATGAGTCAGAGTACAAGGATTGTGAGCGCTTTGAAGGCAGAGACTGTGTCTCTCAGAGGGGTTGGGGCAGCTTGAGGCAGAGGTCCCAGCCTTGGGCTGTGGAGCAGACATGGGGAGGAGATTGGGTGGAAATTCAAATGGTCACATCTGCTGCTGTCTCTTTAAATGTCTCCCCTCCCCCAGTTCCCAGCCCTGGTGAGTGCTGGGCAATGGGGTGAATAAATCTAGGGTCAGAGAAAGCTGGCCCCTCACCCATGGGTCAGAGCAAGGGGAGAGGTGGCTGGGTGCCAGGCTGCTTGGATTCCATGCCCAGCTTTGAGAGGCCAATGGGGTCGAAGGCTGCCCCGTAGGGCTGGCACTGGCTGCCAGGGGAGAGTGCCCGCTGTGCGGTCAGAAATATCTTGCCCCAGATGAACTGATCTACATATAGCCCTCAGTCTGTGTCTGCCAGCAAAGCTCCCTCACATTATCTACTCTAATCTAGCTATCTAATCTGTCTGTCTGTCTATGCCCATCTACCCCATCTCTCCCTCTCTCTCGCCTTCCCCCATCCTCCACTCGGCCCCCAATCCCCCACCCAGCTGCAGGGCCTCGCATGACTGAAGGAGTCTATTCCCTATGAGAGTCAGTTGCTGTGGGCTCACAGTCCCTCCCCCCGCCCTGCCAACACTCATAGCCCCCTCTTCCCTTGCCTCATTTCCCCCCTTGCAGCTGATATGGGCAGGGTCAGCCAGTCTACTGCCTGACCAGTGTCCTCTGGAACCAGGGCACAGACTGCTCCCCCTTTGCCCAAGGGAGTGTTAGCAGGCACACACTGTGCGTCCACTCCTCACCCTGGGCCAGTCCCCTCCCCTGCACCCCCGCCACGGCCACCGCACTAATGAGACGAGGGAGAGAGACCTAGGCAAACGCTGCCCCCTAGTGGGACACCTGGCAACTGCCTGTGAGGCCAAGGCCCAACTGTTGGGGTCACAATGGCCTGCTGTGATGGAGGGGGGGGGGGGTGGGAGTCAGGATCCTGGGTTCTCTTCCTGGCTCTGCAAGGGGAGTGAGGCCTAGTGGGTTACAGCAGGGAGGCTTGGAATCAGTACTCCTGGGTTCTCTCCCTGGCTCTGGGAGAGGAGTGGGGGTTGTTGGTTTAGAGCAGGGGGCCTGGGAGTTAGGACTCCCGGGTTCTCTCCCTGGCAGCGGGGCTGACATCCACTGTGGGCTCTGTGGCAAGGTGGGTGACCTCTGTGCCCCCAGAAAGGGGAGGCAAGGACAAAAGGGGCAGGGCAGAGAGCAGTCAGCCCTGTGGGGGAGGAGTGGGGGATAGGTCTGGTGCTCCCTTACAGAGTTCCCTATGAACTGGTTGCACACAGGAGCAGGGTCTGGGCCTGCTGGGGGTTTGCGATTGTTGTGGTGTTTCAGCCTGGTGCTCAGTGGGGTGCAGCAGGGGTTGGGGGGTGAGGGATTCACACTGGGAGGAGGGGGGCTTGCAGAGGGGTTTGGGCAGTGCAGGGTTAATGGTTGGAGTCAGTGTAGGAGTCAGGGTCATGGTTCAGGGTTGGGTTAGATGTCAGGGATTAAGGATCAGCGTAAGGAGGCGGGATCAGAGGTTAGAGTTGGGGTTGAGGCAGGTGTGATGTTAGAGTAGGGCT